GGTGTGCTAGCGATGGTTCACAAGGTGAAAATTCCAGCCCCCTTGCATGTACAGACCTTCAAATCTCTTGACTTGGTGTTTGGTGGTAGTGCACCAACTTGTGCACAGAGACAGATCCACATACAAAATTGCCCATGCTCTAGTTCAGGCCATGTTAAAAACAGGCCTACAATTTCCACTCTCTTCCTAACCTGGCCTGCTGCTCCAGCATCTCTCCCCATTCTGCATTAAGAACGACTCTTTTAAAAGACATCTGAAACAGGGGCAGGTAGAAGGACTGAAACACGGATTCTCGGTTACTTAGTAGTCAAGAAGATACACTTAACTATTCAGCAAAAAGGGCTGTGAACTGTGGTTTTTCAGGTAGCACATCATGGCGTATGCTAATGTGGAGAGCAGAGAACCCAACCTTGCTGTTTTTTTGCAAGATACCCCATTGCTCTGCCAGGCTGACAATCAACATCCTTCCCACTGCATTTGTTGCAGAGCTCCTTCGGGGGGAACCTCCATTTCAGCCACTTTCCTGTGCTGGTGAAGAGTGGGCATCCCTGAAGACTGAAGTCTCATTTGTCTGTAGAGCTTAGGGTGACCAGACAGCAAGTGTGAAAAATCGGGACTGGGGGGTAATAGGAGCCTATCTAAGAAAAAGACCCAAATATCGGGACTGTCCCTATAAAATCGGGACGTCTGTTCACCCTAGTAGAGCTGGTGCATCTTGGCTACTGGGAATGCAAGTTTCCACCACTCACATACACAGCTTGAGGCATGTAAGTGATTAGGAGGGACGAGACTGCCGGAGAAAAGCTGGGTCATGATTCATGCTCATTCCATTCCTGGCCTCGCTACTGTGACCATAGTCTGAAAGATGGATATTTGTCCACTGGAATGGGGGCTGAGATCCATCAACTCATCCTCTCGCAATGAGGATACCTCTCCAGGGGAGAGAACTCCAGTTATTAGGAAGAGACAGGTAATACTTATGGGGATTAGATCATTAGAAACATAGATAGCTGGGTTTGCAATGACTGGGAGAACCACATGGTGACTTGCCTGCCTGGTGCAAAGGTTGTGGATCTCTTGAAACATCTAGATAGACTTATGTGTAGTGCTGGGGAGGAGCTGGTGGTTGTGGTACATGTAGGTACCAATGACATAAGGAAGGATAGGAGAGAGGTCCTGAAGGCCAAATTTAGGCTGCTAGGTAAGAGATTTTTGTAAAGGGAAATCAGGCCCCAGCAATCTACTAGAATTCTTTAAAGGGGTCAACAAACATGTGGACAAAGGGGATCCAGTACAGTAACGCCTCATTTAAAGTCGTCCTGGTTAACGTCGTTTCATTGTTATGTTGCTAATCAATTAGGGAACATGCTTGTTTAAAGTTGTGGAATGCTCCCTTCTAACGTCTGGCAGCCGCCTGCTTTGTCCACTGCTTGCAGGAAGAGCAAGGTGTGCGTC